TTTAGGCTTCAGAGTTTAGGGCTTAGGCTTCAGAGTTTAGGGTTTAGGCTTCAGAGTTTAGGGTTTAGGGTCTACGGTCAGCTGGGTTGCGGTTAAGGACTTTAAACTAAGTTGCTCTGATGGGGGGACCATATTAGTTTCTATGTATATATATATAACCATTATGGTAATTTGATTTAAGTTCCTAAACCTCTATGCCACCACAGTTTCCATGTCATTTTCCGTTTCTCCTTCATTTCATTCTCGAGCATAGGGGGATAATATCCCCAAACCCCAAACCCTGAACCCTAAACGCCCTAAACCCCATATATCCCTTTTTTTACGCCCAACCCAGTCACTCTTTGGTTAAAGTCCTAAACCCTAAACCCTAAACCCGTCCTATAAAACCCAACCCAGTCACTCTTTGGTTGAAGTCTTGTCCGAAGGTCAGCGTCTGAAGGCCTTCTGGCAAGATCAGGCCTTCTAAGCTCTGATCAAACCTGGGAGGGTTTAGGGTTTAGGGTTTAGTGTTTGGGGTTTGGGGTTTAGGGTTTAGGATTTAGGAATTAAGGGTTAGGGTTTAGGGTAGACTTTTGAGAAGGGATACAAGGGTGATAGAAGGATATTATAGGGGTTATATAGGGATAACGGAAAAGAACATGCAGACTACTATAGGGTTTAGGGTTTTAGGGTTTAGGGAACAGCCATGGAGAAACTATTACGTATCCAAAGCCCTAGTTTGGAGTACACCCCAGCAAAAATATAGACCTTTTTAGGTATAAGTTGTTACAATAGAACCCAGGAACCAACAAAGTATAAAAGTGTAGTACGTACTCCACACCCTAAACCCTAAACCCTAAACGCGAAACCCTAAACCCTTAATATGGGAAAAAATGCCACCTAGAAACTCGCGCCCGAAGGTCAAAGTTTCCAAGCTGCTGGGCAGAGAAAGCCCTTCCAGGCTCTGGTCAAAGTTATGACCAAAAGTCAACGTCCTCGAGTTTTGGGGTGTAGGGATTAGGGTTTAGGGTTATGACCAACAGCTGTGCTTTAGAGCTTCGTAGCATCGTAGGGTTTGCTGAAACGCCATAATTCCTAGACCCTACAGCCCTGAAATCCTAAACCCTAAAACCCTAAAAACCAGAATGCCACGAATCCCAAGAAACCCTAATCCTATCAACCCTCTGAAGAAACCGTAATCCTATCAACCCTCTGAAAGCCCTTAGGGGTTAAGATTTGGGTGAACCCTATAGAAACCTTGACACCTAATAAACCCTTAACCCTGGACCCTGAGATCGAAATCCCACACCCTAAACCCTGAAACTAGAACCCTAAACCCTGAACCCTACACACTGAAACCAAAACACTAAACCCTGAACCCTAAACCAAAAACCATGAATCCTAAACCGGAAACCCCTGAACCCTAAACCGTAAATAGTAGTTTCCGTTTTCTTTTCCATCGTCCCTATAAAACCCCTATATAACCCTATATTATCCCTATATAACCCCACCCTGAAACCAAAACCCTAAACCTTAAACCTTAAACCCTAAACCCTAAACCCTCAAGACAAAAATAAATAGAAATCGTATGCTTTCGCAAGCAGACATGCAAGTC